GGGTTTCTGATTACAGTAGAAGGTATCCTGAAGATGCTGCGACTGGTTTCGAATTTGTAGTCTTTATTGAAAGTTCTATTGAACAGCCTCTCGGTAGCAGGGACATGATGTACCTGAGTGGTTGTCTATCTAGATTTGTAAAGGGCATAAAATACTTAAAAAAAATCAATCGTTTTAAAATTGGCGTAGTTTTTGATCGACCAAATTTAGCAAATGCATTTATGGATAATTCCACATTTTTGAGGGAACAGTCCATCAAAGCTTCAATTCCTGCAGGATGTACCGAATTATCTGGAGTTATTACATCCGTACCCATAGATATGTCCAATAAAAAAATTTATAAAGCATTGTCCAGCTCAAAGAAAATTATTTGTGTCAGACGTATAATGCGTAAAAATAAAACTAGCAGTAACAGTTTCGAATTACAACCCACTCAAACTGTTGTAATAACATTTGCGGCAACATGCCTACCAGATTATGTACATATTAAAATGTGGCGCCTTCCAGTAATTCCATACATCCCTCCAGTAAAGCAATGTTTTCGTTGTCTTAAATATGATCACCTAGCAAAATTCTGTAAAAATGCTCAAAGATGCTCTATTTGTACAGAGGGTCACTCTTTTAAGGAATGTACAGTTCCAGTAGATAAAGCAATATGTATACATTGTAAGGGTAACCATTTAGCGATATCAGGACAGTGCCCAATCAAATTAAAGAAAATTTATGAAAATAAAAACAAAACTGTAAATAAATACTCAGATGCATTAAAATCAAATAATTTTCCATCTTTAAATAAAACAGAAAATACTCATGACATAATGGAATTAGTTTTAAAAAATAGTTCTGCATTAAATCTCATCACTGAAGCAATTGTCAAAGTAATCACATTGAACAAAACAGAAAATGCTAGTATTAGTTCTCAATCAATAAGTAGTGCAATAAAAGAAACTCTATTAAATAAAAATAATTCCCCTCCACATTCCTGAATTGTGTTAATATTGTACAGTGGAATGCACAAAGTTTGCTAAATAATAAACTTGAGTTCCAAAAGTTTCTTTATGATAATAATATACACATAGCTCTAATATCGGAAACTTGGCTCAAACCCAATATAAAAATTGAAATACGCGGATATAACATAATCAGAAATGATTGTGGAAATGATCACAATGGCGTAGCCATCGTCATTAAAAATGGTATAAATTTTCAACAGCTACAAACTTTCTATGATGATACTTTGCAAAATATTTCAATCAAAATAAAAATAAAAAATAAATTTATTTCGATTATAAGTTTTTACAGTCCTGGTAGTGCTAATTTTTCAAAACACAAATTTGATTCTCTCTTGCATAGTGTTCCAAAGCCGTTGATTATAGCTGGTGACTTTAATGCTCATCATACTTTCTGGGGTTGTTCTAGTACTGATTCTCGAGGCAGAGACATCATGGATTCCTTGGATGAGAATGGTTTAGTACTCTTAAACAACGGGATGCCAACAACAGTAGGTTCTCACATCTGGAGGCCCAACGGCCTAGATCTCACTATGGTCTCTTCGTGCTTAGTTTTGTCTTGTGAGTGGTCAATACATAATGATTCCTTAGGCAGTTATCATCTGCCGACTATAACAAAATATTCTCTTGACATTAGTGATGGTGTGTCCTTTGTTGAGTCTTCGAACATTCCTCCACATATTAATCTGAAACTAGTAAATTGGAATTTATATAAAAAATACATAAATGATAACTTGATAAATTTCCAAATCAATAACTCAAACATATTGGAATCATATAATAATTTCTGTTCAATTATTAATAAAGTAGCTCAGGACTCAATAACTAGTATAAATAATAGTAAACATAATAAGGTGGGTCACTTGTCAGGGTTTAAAAAAAGAACACTTCCTTGGTGGAATGATAATTGTGCTAAAGTGGTTCAAAATTGCAAAAAGGCTTATATACTGTTTAAATCTAGTCCTTCTTTATGTAACTATATTAACTTCAAAAAGGCGCAAGCCCTAAAAAAACGCACTTTACGTCAGGAGCGCTGTCAGTCTTGGCTTGAATTTTGTACCTCTGTTAATAGATTAACACCGATGAGTCAAGTGTGGACTCAAATGAGAAAATTAAAAGGTTCTACCTCTAATACCACATTGTTTTCCAATTATGAATGGAGTTCTGATTTTTTATACAAATATACACCAGATACTGTCCAAAATGATAGCAATCTTCTGCCAGACACCCAAGTTAATAATACTAACTCTTACATGATAGAACCATTTTCACTTCAAGAATTAAAATCTGCTTTAAATTCTAGGAAGGAAACTGCTTGTGGATTAGATTGGTTGTCATATAAAATGTTCAAACTGTTGAATGATACCAGTCTCGAAATTTTTTTAAATATTTTAAACTTGTTTTGGTCTCTGTCTATTATACCAGAAGAATGGAAGACAGATTGTTTGGTTCCAATATTAAAAAAAGGGAAGGATTCTAATTCTGCTCACTCATATCGCCCTGTCACACTCAGCTCTTGTGTAGGTAAAATTTTTGAGCAGTTAATAAAACAAAGACTGACATTCCATATAGAAAACAATTATATCTTACCATCTAACCAATTTGGCTTCCGATGTGGCCGTTCTGCTCGGGAGAGTCTAAGCCATTTGTGTCTGGACATCCATGATACTCTGTCTCAGAATAAAATTATGGCATGTGTCTTCTTCGATATTGTAGGGGCTTTTAATAATGTTGATTTAGGTGTTTTATATTCAGTTTTGTTATCATTAAATATACCTGCAAAAATAGTAAATTGGATTTACAAATTTTTAAATGGCCGTAAGATATTTGTGAAAATCAATAAACAGTTAATTGGTCCAAGATATTCCTATAAAGGAGTGTCTCAAGGTGGGATATTAAGTCCCTTGTTGTTTATTTTATACATCCATCAATTAAATATTGTTTTAGGTAATAATGTTTCTAACCTACAATTCGCTGATGACTTGGTAGTCTATTGTTCAGGTTTGAATAAGCTGGATATCCAAAATAAACTTAATACTGCCCTAAAAAGCCTACAAAAATATTTTCAAAATCTCAATCTAGATGTGAACAATGAAAAAAGTAAGGTAGTCATATTTTCAAAAAAAGCTGTAAAACCTAATTCAATTAAAATATACTATAACAATGAAACAATGCCTATAGATAATACAGTTAAATTCTTAGGTGTTACATTTTGTAGCAATTTTAAATGGAACAGGTATGTTGATTATTTAGCAAACAGAGCTCTCAAAGCTTGCAATATTTTAAAATCTTTAGCTGGAGTATATTGGGGTGCTGATCCAGCTACACTGTTAGTTCTGTACAAGTCTTTGGTTAGGAGTCATTTTGAATATGGTTTTCTATGTTATAAACAGGCAACTAATTTGGTAGAGAAATTAGAAAAAACTCAAAATAAATGTTTAAGGATCATTACAGGTGCCATGAGATCAACACCAATCATCTCTTTACAGGTAGAATGCAACATACCTCCTTTATCACTAAGGTTCAAATATCTTCAAGCAAAATTCTTTCTCAGTATTTTTTCAATCAGTGATCACCCTCTTGTTTCTAAGCTAAGACATGCTGCCAGCAAAGCTGATGTCGGTTCAACCTCATTAATCCAGGGTTTTACTGAAAATGTACAGTTTTTTCATGATAATAATTTGTTTTCTAGTATTATTTGGCCTTGCTATTTAGGAAATTACAATTCAAAATTTTGTAAAGTTAGTATAGTTATAAATGAACAAAAATGTAAACAAGATGTATATAGACAGTTAGATAAGTGGAGGGATTACAATCATTTATACACAGATGGCTCTAAAAACAATAATGCTGTATCCTTTTCTGTGTATAATAAACAAACTCGAAGTGGGTTTGGACATAGGTTAAATGATATGGCTAGCATTTACACAGCAGAATCTCTTGCTATTTTATTTGCTCTGGAATATATTGCAAGTCAGCAGGGAAAGAAATGGTTAATAATTACAGACTGCATGAGTATATTAAAATCACTTCAAAACCCTAAGTGTATTTCAAAAACTAGTTACATAACTCACAACATTCGTAAGCAATATTCTTCTTTGTCTCATTCTAAAGAAATCACTTTTTTCTGGACTCCGTCTCACATAGGTGTGTTTGGAAATGAACAAGCAGATTACCTGGCTAAATCAATTGTTGATCATTATGAAAGTGTCCCAATTTTAAATTTTCCAATTCCTGCTTCTGATGCTTTATCTCATGTTAAATCCTCAGCTGTCAAGGAATTTTATGACGAATGGCAACAAATTGTTCAAAACAAAGGAAAGTGGTTGGCAGAGATTAAAACCAAGATTTCTCCTCCATGGTTCTATGGAGGAATCTTTCGAAACAGAAAATTCTACACCACTATTTGCCGATTACGCTTAGGTCATTGTCGTTTTGGTGCCCACTTGTTTCGCCTTGGAGTCTTATCTTCATCAACATGTGAATTTTGCAACCTTGCTGAACAAACTCTTGATCATTTAATTTTCAGTTGTCGTTCTTTTAGTCTCCAACGTATAATTCTTATAGACAGTCTTCTGTGTATATATAAAAAAGCTGATGACATCCCGCGTTCGCTTCAGCAACTTCTGAAGAAAAAGGAGTGCTTTGTATATATTTACGAATATGTAACCTCAACCATTGGGGAAATCTAACGTTGTTTTTTCTATGTCAATTTAATTTTGTTTATTTTCAATTTCCTTCGTTTGTATATTTCGCTTGTTAATTTGTAAATAAGATGTAACCACATAAAACTTAAAAAGACTTGGCTTCGGCCTTTTGACTTAGACTGAGAATACAAATTTCTATTAAAAAAGACTTGGCTGTGGCCGTTGAATAAGAATATTAATGAATATAATTACAAATGACAAGGCTGTATGGGCTAAGCACCCTTTGCCTTCCCCTTCCCCTGTAGGAATGGGAAAATTTGAACCAAAAAAAAAAAAAAAAAATGGTTCGTGATTTTAATAAATTAAAAATAAGTCATTACTAATATTGTGTTACTTATTTTGAGACTTTCAGTATAAAGGAACAAGTCCATATTTTGCAATTTCTTTTCAAAGAAAAAAAAAGTACACTACTTGGTAATTTCAGTAATTTATAGCTTTCTTAATCTCACTGGAATCGCATAAATATAATGGGAGATCTAATAGGTAAGTACTAAATTCATTTATTGAATATTAATGAATGATTAAATTTACTCTAAATAAATTTATAAATAATTTGCTAAGCCAATATTCTCTTTGTTTTAAGAATTTACTTCATGGCCGAGCCATAAAAACATTTTTTACAAAATATCGAGCAGTGGATTGATCTTTGAAGTAAAGGGTCAAAACAATGCAGCAATCGGCTTGTTGAAAAATGTAGGACCAACGTGTGATTTATGGGTAAATATGCAGTCTATACTTACATTTATTATATTTAAATACTTAGGTTAATATAAAATTAAACTGTTTTACTAGGTTGTTTTAGGACAAAGTAATCACACATGGATAAAGGATAAAGAGGGTCAAGGAGTTACTGCACAAACCCCCAATATAATTAATAATACAGAATACCGGAAATTCTGGCTTACATGGAGAAGTGGTTGCATTCAATTAGGAAGATATAACAACAGGAGTCCTATCATATCCTATAAATATAAAATGAAGCTGAATTTTATCACATTTTGTTCAGGATCTGGTAACATGGAAAATACAATTCCTGTGCATTGGCGTTTTGAATGTAAGTATTGAAACATTTTAAATTACAAATAAATTGATTATTCTGATGAAATTGTAATTTTTCTGCAAAAGACCGAGACAGTTAACAGACATTAATTATTACTCTTTTGATTCAGTGCCACCAATAATAGAGAAACCGAGACTCAAACCAATTACTGGTGGGGAGCTTCAATGGGTGGAGGCTGATAATCAACTACCAGATGGATCTATGATTGGTGGATATGAAAATGAAATTTTATATATTATTAGAGCACGACACAGTGGATCTTTAACTCCTGGGAAATTTGTACCTTCTGAGGGTGTGGGTTATATAGCATGGGGTGGTTTATCACATGAGAAGATGGCATTTGAGGTGACGGCCTATCCTTAAATTTTATAAATTTACAACAAATTTATATTTACATTACTTTTTGCATTGTTTTCTAGGTCTTATGTGGGTTTGATTGTACATGGATACCAACCTGTGATAACAAAATACCGGTAGGAGCAGTAGAAGGTGGTTATTCTGAGGACCGAAAACGAGAAAAGTTGTATGTAGGTCGTGCATTATACAATGGACATCTTGTGCCTGGAAAAGTACAACCATCACATCAAGTCTGCTACATACCATATGATGGTAGAGAGATAGCAGTAGAAAAGTATGAAATTTTAACATCATTCTTTGAAAATCAACGATGTGCAAATAAACTGTTAGACATTCAACTTTATGTTGATCTCAATGCTCCTAATTCGGAGTCTGAAGCTGAAGATGCAGAAGTAGAAAATGCGGAATTTGAGCTTTTTGACTAAATATTATTTTAGGAAAGTTATTTATTGAACATACACAATAATCTGTATTGTATAATAAGCATCAAATGAAGACGTTTGATTTGTAAATATTACTGGATTGAATCCCATTGAAAATAAAAAATTTATTATGAAAATTTTATTATTTTGATTTAGCCTAAAGCTACAGGCATGCACCTGGTTATAATTATGCATAAACGTAATATAATAAAAATAGTACACTTTGTGCATAATTCTTTCCTATAAAAAATAAATTGGATATATTATTTTCATTTACTTAAGTGACAATAAAAATTAAAATCAATATAATAATTGTATAAGCTTCACTTGACTGTATCACACTTACTAAATATAACCATGTAAAGGGACACATGGTGACACAAGCACTTCATATGAGTTCACTTCTATTTCTTTACCTGCGTAAGGCAAGTAGCAGGTTTTATACAGTACATGAACTTTACCAGTCAATAATTTACTATCTATCATAGCACGACCAATATATAATGGTTCACCACCAACTTCTGATGAACCAGCAACAAATGCATTAAGGGGAATATCATTCCCTGAAGTCTGAACCCATACAGCATCATAACCACATAGTATCTGAAATATTTTGGGTATAATTAAAGATTAAATGTAAACACTAAACACAATAGAATCCAAAAATTTTATACCTCAAAATGTTGTTTCCTATGTTCATGAAAGCCCCATGGGATTAATGCTACACGCTGTGATGGTATAAATCGTCCAGGGCATATTGAATTATTATGATAAGCTCTAGCAATATATGTAGGTTCATTATCAAATCCACCTATCAATGCATCTGGTGGTAACTTATCACTGGTCATATGTACCCAATGTAATTTCCCACCTTCAATTTGTCTAGATTGTAATGGTATTGCACAATATGGAGACACTGAAAATGTAGAAAAATAAATAGTTGGACCATTTAAGATACCAATTTTAAGGTTTTGTGAAGACTGATGTAATTAACTATATTGTTGTTCTTATAGTATTTATAATAGCCCTGCAGCAAGCATTATTTAGTTTTAGAAGTAGTCTAATATGACTTAAATGTTTATGAAAATTACCATGTTTATGTTGTATTTCTTTTAAATTTTATTCATTCTTTTAAAATTGATCATATACCCAATGGATAATTATTATTATTATACTCACTAGTTTAACAACATAACCTTTAAACACTGAATTTACTTATATCCAAATTGAAACATCTTACCTTCAAAGTTCCATTCAACAGCATTATCTATGCCTGGTTTGTTAAATTTAATATAACCAATTTTATTGTGGCTATCTCTATCTGCAGCTACAAACTCAACTAAACTTGCTTGTTCTGGATGACCAATGCAAACTCTACAGTTGTACCATGATAACCATATTTCTTTAAATGAATTGTAACTAACCATATTAACAGTTTGAAAACCCTTTCTAATGGAAGTTTCACAACATTTGACATAAGATTCCAAGATACTTAATTGAATCTGTAATTTATATAAAATGATAATATCCTTCATACATTTTAAATAACATTTATGCTAATAAGTAAGTTAATTGTTTGGAATTACCTTATATATCTCTTTAAAAGGTTTGTCTCTAGCAACAAGCCAGAGTGTGCATATTTCACCTCTAACTTTAAACCTTATTGCACCACTATTTATTGGTATTAAATAATAGTTGCCTATTCCTAGTGCTGGAAGAATTGTAATAACAGTTAATACCTAAGGCTCTAATAAATTAGTTTTTGTATACTTAAAATTATTTGAGGATCTCGAGAATTCGGAGTCGACTGCAACAACCACTTACCCTTATGTTCAATTTGACCTGGATTTAATTATATAGAATCATACATACTACAATTGGAACTACAGAGTAAGTTCGTCTGTTTGAGGGATGATTAAGACTTGTTGAATTAATGCTCTACAAAGCTTGCTGCTCGCGCAGATACATAACTGCTGGTAAAAGATAAACCTATGAGCAAATTATACTCACATACGTTGTCAGCCATGGTAAAAACTTTTCTCTGGCATCTGCATATATATCATTTACGTCTAGTAAAACCTTAGGACTCCTAACGAAATTTAGCGGATGCAGGAGAATTAAAATTTGGCATAATTTATAAGGGTTACAGGTTATATGGAAAAGAAGTGCAAAATGCTAATATTTTAATTAGTAACGTCTAAAAATACATTTAATTCATTAAAAAAAACATTCACTAGTAAGTAGTAGTTAGTAGTAATAGTCACAGATTATATTATATAGTAGTTGTAGTAGTAGTTTCGTCACCGAGCCAGGCGATTATACTACTCTTTGCGAAGGAAGTAAGTAAGCAATACAGCCAAGCAGAGGTGTTCAAAACTACTAAAAATCATTAACGCATTAAAGACAAATGATAATTTTTTTAACGTTATAATGAAGGCACTAATTAATTAACACGTTGATTCAAAGAAGCGTAAAGGTGTGTGAAGACTCGTTGAATTTTGTATAACGTTAATTATTTTATGTTGTGCGTTACACAGATTACGTGCTATATTAAACAATACCTCATTATTATTTAGTCTAAATAGTTCGAATTAATTATAGCAGTTCTTACTAAATTTAAAGAAAATCGATATACTCCCCTTAATACTTTTTCGGCTTAGGACTGTCTTATCTATAATTCAATTATAGGTAGTATTTAAAAATTAATTGATTTAATGTACAAGAATCCTCAATTGACATGTGTAAAGTTCCACCTCGTACGTGTATGAGGGCATACACGTTATCAGGATAGTTGAGTGTAAGGTTTCCAAAATTTTGGTATGATTTAAAAAAAATACTGGCAGCACCGAATGAAGATCCATTAAAGTCTAACGAACATGGCGGGTGGGGCATTCGTGATTTGGACGCTCGAGCTGTGCGGTCGAGTGATAAGTTTCGATAATAAGTTTAGTGCCTTAATAAGTTTTGGGAAGGTGTGATAAAATATTTAATAAGTTTTGAACAGTTAATAAATTTGGAATAACTAATAAGTTTGGTTTAAAAGTGAAATATAAGTTTTGTTGGAGAGATCAGGTGCTTTCATTTCTGAGATATCCTGTATACGTACTAGTTTGTGACGATAACAAACGTCACTGTATCCTTGGCTGAAGTGGTGGTTAAATTAGCGTCTATCGTCTCAATTAACCTGCTTTTCTCTCTTAACGATTTACACTGCTGAGTAGAGGTATACGCAAAGGCGCTAAGAATTTCACGTGGTAACACGATTCACGCGTGAAATTCCAAAACGATTCGACGACCAAACGAAACGAGACCTCGGCCGACCGCGCAGTTAGTTAACGCGTGAGCGCGATCGTTGGTAGACGTGTCATTGCTAATGCTCGGAGCACGCTTAGTAGGTAATTATTACGAGTGATCCTATCTCCTGTATTTTAACAAAGCTTACTAAGTCGACATTTTAAGTGAATAAGCGTAATTATAAAAAGTATTTGAAAAAATATTTTCATGAAATAAGTAATAATGATTACATTATATAAATTTCTGCTCTTATTTATTGCTAAGTAAGATTCATAGAATTTATTCACTTTGAAAAAAAATGGAAATACTAAAAAAATTTTGAAAAAATCGAGGTGGAACTTTACACATGTCAAATTGAGGCATTCGACTATCATCGGAACGTTTGTAAATTCTAAACTTTGTTAAGACTATCTAAGTTTATATCCGTGTCGGTGCTGCCAGTATTTTTTTTTAAATCATATCAAAATTTTGGAAACCTTACACTCAACCATCCTGATAACGTGTATGCCCTCATACACGTACGAGGTGGAACTTTACACATGTCAAATTGAGGCATTCGACTATCATCGGAACGTTTGTAAACTCTAAACTTTGTTAAGACTATCTATGTTTATATTATTCAAATACTACTCAAAACCCAAAAAGATAAACGTTATTATTACGCGGTTTTTTTTTCAGAGTGGTAAGTGTAAGTTTTATGCTAACGAGTTCACTAGTGAGCGCCTTAAGAATTTGTATGGAGATTTGTAGTTCTTAGTAGTTACCGCTAGGAGCGCTGTTCCGGATTCCATACTAAAATCTTAACGCGCTCACGATCGAGAGTGAACGTAATGTAAAAAAACTTACACTAAGCGCTCTGTACCCAAAACAACTCTGATTGTATATATAAAACTGTATAACACGATTGATACCAGTTCAAATAAAACAAGTACTCTTCCACGTTAACAGTGCGTTTAATTAACGATTACTATCGTCGTAGAGTTTTACAATTACAATATATATAATAAACTATATGAGTCCGCGAATCGACCGGCGACGCGCGAACAGCGCGATACAAACGTCCAGCCTCAAACTATCGTGGCGCGCAACTACTGGTATGACGATGGCGCGCAGGTTGCATCATTTCACGCGCGCAGGCGTGCCGGCAACCGACGCCTTCTTTGAAGAGGCGCGCGGAGCGACGATGGGATTTTGCAACTAAATGTCGCGCTATATCCTCCCCCTCCAAGTCAGAAGAACGAGGTGATACTGGCTTGGCAATCGGTTGTTTCCTAGGCCTACCCCTCTTACGCTCGTGGATGATAGCGTCTGCATTCCCTACATACGGGGACAATAGATTGGCATGATATTTACCGCGAGGTCTGTTATCGCGGTCAGTTACCTCATAAGTAGTAGAAGATATTACTTTTTTTATTACATAAGGTCCTTCACGTTTCGGAGCTAATTTACCGGTAAAACCTTTAGCCGCGTGACTAAGCCTATGGCACTCTACGAGTACAAGGTCTCCCTCTTTATATGTAGGCCCATCACGGCGCTTCTTATCAGAAGACTCCTTACGTGTATCTTGTTCATGTTCAACTCGCCACTTCACTTCCTGCCAACGTTGTGCGAAGTCGCGAAAATAGGGTGTGATTTTAGGAACATAATTCTCCTGATCTATTACCATTCTCATGTCATTAACAATGTCTATTGGACATCTGAAGTCACGGGCGAAGGTCAGATATGCTGCCGAATGTCCAGTTACTTGGTTGTATGCAGTATTCAGAGAAAATCTTACCGCTGGTAACACTTCCGGTCATCGCCGATGCTCAGGATCAATTAGCATCGCTAGCATCTGCTTCATCTCCTTATTTTTACGTTCAGCGGGATTAGCTTCTGGATGGTAAACAGGAGTCAAATTTTGTTGTACTCCTAACACATGCAATGCCTTCTGCATGACTGCGGATACAAATTGCGAGCCGTTGTCCGATACTATGCGCCGTGGAAAACCATATCGCATAAATACTTCTTCGATCAGGAGTCGGGCGCAGTTTTCAGCATTTGCTTCGACAAGTGGGAATAGCTCCACCCAGCGGCTTGCAGTATCTTCGACTAAAAAGATCCACTTCTCACCTTTGCTACCTTCAGGTAGGGGACCAAACAAATCCATGGCGAGGACCTCGAATCTTTGTTGTGGGACAGGAGTTTGCAGCAAGCCCGCGGGCTTCAGGTTAGTTGGCTTGAACTTCTGGCACAGATCACATGATTTGAGGTATTTGTATACGAACTGGCGCATCTTCGGAAAATAAAATCTTTCCTTAATTCTTCTTAACGTACGTTCCAAACCAAGATGACCAGCTGTAGGCGCGTCGTGTAGTTCCTTCATTACTTCCTCGCGCATCGATTCAGGTAAAACTAGTTGGGGCTCTTCAGACTCATTGTCCGAGTCGAAGCGAAACAATACACCCTGCGAGACGTAATATCCGCGATCGGTGAGTATCTTTTGTAAGTATCTTTTGTATTTCAGGATCCTCTAACTGGGCTGCGCGCAGCTCTTCAGAACTACGGTGAGGTAAGTCCACAGAAACCTGGCACACGTCACAGGTAGGTTCTTCGCTTTGTGCCACGTCGGTCACAGGTCGACTGAGAGTATCCGCTACAACTTTCACTTTTCCAGGTGTGTACTCTACATTTAGATTGTAGGCTTGAATTTTTAACGCCCATCGTGCTAGTCGGCCACTAGGGGTCTTCAACGAGAGCAGCCACTTCAGAGGCTGGTGGTCGGATACTACGTGAACATGGGCGCCTTCGAGATATCCACGGAACTTTTCGAGGGCCCACACTACAGCCAGCGCTTCCCGCTCTGTCGTGGAGTAATTTCTCTCTGCAGAATTTAACAGCCTACTGGCATACTCTATGGGTTGTTCATCCTTCGGATTTTGTCCCTGCATTAATACCGCACCAAGCTCGTAAGCACTAGCATCAGTGCGCAGTATGAAGGGTTGGTCAAAATCCGGTTGTCTCAATATGGGACTAGAACAAAGTTTTAATTTAAGCTCTTTAAAAGCTTCAGCTTCCCGACGATCCCATTTCCAGGGCCGGTTCTTTTTAGTTAGGTCGGTCAAAGGCTGAGCTATGCTTGAGAAACGAGGTATGAACTTCCTGAACCAGGCACAGGTTTGCAAGAAGGTTCTCAATTCCTTTAAATTTGTAGGGGACTGCATATCCATTGCGGCTTGCACTTTCTTAGGGTCAGCCCCAA